ACAGAGAGAGAGAGAGAGAGAGAGACAAAGAGAGAGAGAGAGAGAGACAGAGACAGAGAGAGAGACAGAGAGAGAGAAAGACAGAGAGAGAGAGAGAGAGAGAGACAAAGAGAGAGAGAGACAGAGAGAGAGACAGAGAGACAGAGAGAGAGAGAGAAAGACACAGAGAGAGAAACAGAGAGAGAGACAAAGAGACAGAGAGAGAGACTGAGACAGAGAGAGATTATTTATACATTTTTCTTTAACATACATAAGTGCCTAGTAAACAGTATATTGTCTGGGTCAATTTACTTATACATAATAATAGTGACAATAATATTATTTACTTGTAGGTAGTAGTATCCTTCCAACTTCTAATTTCTACCTCTATTATCTAACCATTGATTTAAAAAAATCCCACGTTGAAAAATATTCTGTATCTTCCTTATCCTTTACCTTTAATGTTAACCTATCCATTTCCGCACAATCTATTTTTTTTTAGTTATATTTTCATCTGTGGGAGTTTCCTCATTTTTCCAGTGTTGTGGAGATACAGTTCTCGCTTCTGTCAAAACATAAAGCATTAAGCATATGTTCCCTTTGTCATATTTTTCTAATAATATACCTATAACAAAAACATTTCTGGCTTTAAATTTATGTGTCGCTTTATCATTTCCTCTAACCATGTGTATATTTTCATCCAATTTTGGGGGGTGGGGGGGACTTCGGGCATGTCCATCACATATGGTAGTATGAGCCTGGTATCTGATTGCATCTCCAACATTTGGCGGACATGTTTTTAAACCTCTTTGCTTTGCTGGATTTTAATCTTTAACGAGCCGGGGATTTTAACCTTTTAATCTTTACCATCAATGGGCTGTGGCCCGCCAGCTGCCAGTAGAAGTGGTGGCAAACTCAGACAACGAGGAGGTTGGAGGAGAACCTGGGCCAGTTCTGGAGCATGGAGAAGGTTCTGGTGGATGCTCAGCATTGGACACAGAGGTAGAGCCAGGGCCATCCGACTATCATGCCCCTGTCGGAGTCTGAATCCAAGGAGGAAGGCAAACAGCTGACAGGGAGTGTGGCTCCATTGGCTGTGGAGTCCGGCTGGGCAGAGCAGGGGAGAGGCAGAACAAGGGAGAGCCACATTCCCACTCCCTGTCGGCTGCTCGTTTTCCTCCTCGGATTCAGGCTCCTACAGGGACATGACACCACACGTCACTCACCGGGGGTGCAATCTTGGGCCTCATCCACCAAGATGGCATCATACTTGGAAAGAGAAGGTTTCTGGAGTTGCCAAAGTTTCAAGTAACCTAAAAGGCACAAGACCGGTGCTTAAAATCAATATCACTGTACAAAAAAAACCCCCAACATTGCATGATTTTGGGTTCTTGGGCCCCTGCAGAATCACAGCCCACGGTTATTTCAAAAAGGAAGCATCCGTTATAATTACCGTCTCCTAGACTCGAACTCCTTGTCTCCTGGTGATTGGCCCAAACTCACCCAGTTGGTGAGTTCTTCATTCTTAAGGCGGGCCTAGAACTCACTGTCTTCTAGTGACTTGCCCAAAGTTACCCAGGCGGCTTTCATGCTTAAGGTGGGACTAGAACTCACGGTCTCCTAGACTAGAGCTCACGGTTTCCTGGTGATTGGCTCAAATTCACTCAACTGGCTTTCATGCCTAAGGTGGAACTAGAACTCACCGTCTCCTGGTGAGTGGCCCAAAGTCACCAGCTTGCCTACATGCTTTAAGGCAGGTCTAGAACTCACTGTCTCCTTGTCTAGAACTCACTGCTTCCAACTCACTTTGGGTGATTGGCCCAAAGTCACCTAGTTGGCTTTCATGCTTTAAGGCGGGACTAGGACTCACTGACTCCTGGTGATTGGCCCAAAGTCACC